CCTGCTTAGGCAAGCACAGGGACAGGGGTTCGATTTTGGGCACCACATACTATGCCACAGGGTGAGCTGAGCCACCCACAGAGTTGGGGCGTGGTGGCGCAGGACTGTAATCCCAGCGCTGGGGAGGCTGAAAACAGGAGGATCACTAGAAGTCTGAATTGCATAGTGAGACTCTCTATCAAATACCTTTAAAAAAAACAGGGGTGGGGTGGTCATGTAGCTCACTGGAAACATCTTGGGGTCAGTCCATAGTGTGCACATGCGTGTGGGCACACACACAGTAAATATATGCTGCGCTGATCCATAATATAGAGTAGCTATGGGGTTGCTTTTATTTCTTAGCAATGCTGGAGGTTGAATTTAGGGCTCATGCACACCAGGGCCCTTGTAAGTGCAAGTTACAATTGGAGTGCTTAGAGAGGGGCTCCAATAGGTGTTATTTAAACAGATAGAATAACAAGGATGGAGCCAGACTTGAGATCCAGGAGAAGAGATGGTTCAGGGACCTTGAGGAGGAATGAGCTTGTCGTCTTCCTAGACCTGGCTTTTAATTCCTCTTCCCCAGGTTCAGGGAGATTACTACGGAGACCTGGCGGCTCGCCTGGGTTATTTCCCCAGTAGCATTGTTCGTGTAAGCCAGACTTTGAAACCTGGGAAAATTGACGTGAAGACAGATGTAAGTGTCCTGGGGTGAGGGGTGCGGGGTGGCAGGGTTCTGGAGGGAAGATCCTTGGCTTGTGATGATACAGGCAAAGATGCTCCTATCTTGGCTTTCTGCTGGCCTTCCTGTATGTGCTGTGAGAAGTTCTGAGGCCTGTTTTGTCACCTATAAAATGGGAAGTGATTTCTAAACCCCACTCTAGTTGGGAGATACAAAGGCTAGAGGACCCTAGGCTAATTTGCATAGTTTTTGTATGGTCAATCTTGACCCCTGAAGCTACAATGAAAAACACTAAATCTGTGAGTTTCTCTTCACTGTTTACCTTTCTCTTTTTCAGAAATGGGACTTTTACTGCCAGTGAGCTCAGCCAACCACTCTTCCTGCTTCCCCCCTTTATGCAAATACACCAGTCCCGGGCAAACTGCTGGTCTCTGTGGTTTTTGGGGGTGGGGTGAGGATGTACAAAGGAAGTATTTCTTAGGCTCCTGAACCTAGCCAATCAACTCCCCGAATATGGTTCGTTAGTGGTTGCTAGGCAGGATTTTACTGATTTGAAAGCCCTTTGCCTTAGGCTGTGTGCTCCTGGTACAGCTCCTATCTTTGATCTGGGACACAAGCAAGGGAGAGGCGGAATAGCCTAAACAGCCCAACTGGAGAACTGTGGTGTCCTCTACACACAAGAGGGTGTTAAAGTACTGGGAATGAGTCAGTTGCACCATAAAAGGAACATAAATCTTAAAATAGAGGTTTTGTTTATTTATTTTTGAGACAAGGTCTCAGTATATAGTTGTCAGGCCTCAAACTCACTTTATGGTTCAGTTAGGCCTCAAATCTAAAGCAATCCTGCCTCCTTTCCCCAAGCGGCAGGATCACAGGCCTGTACCACCGCACCCGGCTCAGCGTTAGAGAATATCTGCAAAAGGATGTGGGAAGCAACCTGCGCATTTCTTCCAAATTTTCCTGCACACCTTTTTTTAGAGTCAAAAATCACATCCACTGGCTCAAGATACGTCTCTTTTCCAACTCTGTCAAACCTGCCTTAGATTCTACTTTGAATTCTTCTCCCCACCTCCCAAGTGCACTTCTCACCAGGCCAGTCTGCACCGTACCCCCAGACTCCTGACCAGATAGATCCGTTCCTCCACCGGACTGAGCATCTTTGTACCGCCTCTTACCACTTGCTTCGCCAATCCCTTGCACTGGTCCCGCCTCTTTTGACTCCGCCCTCCTCATTCCACCAATCTGTGGCCTTCGTCCCACCCCCTGCCAGTGGATTCCACCAATCCCACTCTTCTGAAAGCGTGGCCTGGTGTCCCGCAGCTTTAGCGGGTCGCGCTGGAGCGGAGGTGGAGGCGGAAGTGGCGGTGCCGGGTCCGGAGTGTAGGAAGGAGCAGGGGCTGCAGCCGGAGTGGAGCGGCTGCCAGCCGAGGAGCAGGCGCGACTGCGGCGCCATATTGCGGCCCATTGCGGCCGCATCAAGTCATGGCCGAGACGTACGGTAAGCGTGGTGGGCCGACTCTGGAGTTCGGGGTCTGCGCCCGGAGGATGCGGCCTGTGGGGATGGGGCGGGGCCGTACATTAGGGGGCGGGGTCTGTTGCTATGGGGGCAGGGCCTAATTGGATGCTGGGAGGGGTTTCGTGAGTCGGGGCTGAGCTACATCTATTTGGGTGGAGCCTGAGGGTCTGGTGCTTGGGTTAAATAGATGTGGGCGGGATCGAAGGGGATCGAAGGGAGTCGGTCTAGATAGTTCAGCTTGGGCCTTCAGGTGTCGGGGCGGAGTCAGTGAATGGGGCGGGGCTGACTCTGAAAGCAGGGGTCGTGCTTGATGGGCTAGTGAGAACCCCTGGGAATCTGGAATAGGGCTTCGGTCTCGGCCTGATTTGACTCAGAGATCTGGAATGGGATTTAGATGGGTTGTTCTTGAATGTAGACAGGGATGAGGTTTAAGCTTGAGAATAAGGTGTAGGAAAAAGAGGTTGAGAATTGGAAAATCAATGTGGGTGTTGAGTGTCAGGTGATGGGGGTCAGGGAGCTGTAGAAAACTCTCCCAAGAGAAGTCAGAGGGAGTTGCATTCATTCAAAAAATATGTATGAAAAAGCAGAGGGATCAAGTGCAAAGATCCTGAGGTGGAAACCAGTTTATCAGGTTCAGGGTATAGACTGAAGGCAACCACAGCTCAGTGGGTAGTGAGAGGGTGGTAGGGGAAGTGAAGAGGAACAAAACCTAGATTCTTGTCCTTGATTAAATGGCTTTTAAGAGGTTTTAGCAATATACTAGCTAAGATCTTGGGCTTCGGAAGCTTATGGTCTGGGTTTGAATCTCAGATCTGCCTAGCTGTGTGACCACGGGCAAGTCAGGTTCTCTGGCCTCAGTTTCCTGCTTGGGACGCTGGATACGTTTTTACCATGCTTCCCTTCTAGAGTTTTCCTGAAGATCTCAGTGAACTATTGATATAAGTAAAGATATGTAGACCTATGCCTAAGGCATGTGGTAAATAGCTAAGAATAATCTTGGCTCAAAGCATGGCTCAGTGGCAGAGCACTTGCCTACCCTCACATACACAAAGCCCTAGATCCAATGCCCAGCAGTGCAAAAGGAGAAAGGTAATGTAATTATTCTTGTTGTCTGGGGCATTGTTTCTACCTGGCTGTTGGTCTCTTGCTAACTTTTTCTGATTTTCCTCTTTTTTCTATATCTGGTTTCTACGGGCCTCCTTGATTTTGGCTACATCTGTTCAGACTTCCTCTTCAAATTCCTAGTGATTGGCAGTGCAGGAACTGGCAAATCATGTCTTCTTCATCAGTTCATTGAGAATAAGTGTGAGTTGGCACTGGTCCTGGGAACACCGGGCTGTGGACAAGGGTGTGCAATGGGGCAGGTGGGGCACTCCGATTCCAGTGCTGGGGGCATGGTTCTTGCATTGAAGTTTGTTCTTTCTAGGTTTTCTGTCACCCTCGTAGTGGGAAGGAGTTAATAGAGACAAAGGAGGCCAGGGAGGGTAGAGGTCCTCTGAACCTCTGCACTGCCTCGTCTGTCCTTTTTCTTCTCATCTTAGTCAAGCAAGATTCCAACCACACGATTGGCGTGGAGTTTGGATCCCGAGTGGTCAACGTAGGTGGGAAGACTGTGAAGCTACAGATTTGGGACACTGCTGGCCAGGAGCGGTTTCGGTAGGTGGGCTTGGCTTCCAAGGTGGGATGGATGGACAGAAGTTGGGAGAGAGATGTGTGTAGTTACTCAGGGAGACAGCAGTAGGAGTGAGGAGATACTGAGAGGACAGACAACGCAGAAGGAGGGAGGAGACAGTCTTGGTTGGCAGGTCCATCCAGCTGAGGAGAGAGGGAAAGAAAAAGATAGCCAAGGGGGAAAGAAAGGCTTCGGACTGTGGTTGTAGCTGGGTGAGAGTGCTTGCCTAGCGCGCACAAAGCCCTTAGTCTAATCCCTACACCACAAAAATGTCAGGAGGGCCCTAAAACAGAGAGAGAAGGAAAAAGGGAAAGAAAAAAGACAGGTTCTGGATGTGGAGGTACAGCACTATTGGAGGCTGAGGCAGGAGGATTACAAATTGGAGCTCAACCCCAGCATTTGAACAAATTAGTGAGCTCCTGTCTCAAATTTAAAAAAATTAAAAAAGGATCCTGGTGTTAGTGTGGCAGTGCATGCCTGTAATTTAGCACTGGCGAGGCTGAGGCAGGGAGTGGCTAAGGTAGTAAGGTTGCGAGTTTGAGGCCAATAATACCTTTTTCAAAAGAAAAAAAATGAAGGGGCAGGGAGATGGCTCAGTGGAATAAGTGCTTCCCTGGCAAGCGCAAGGGCCTGAGTTCAATCTCCAGTTTCGCCAAAAGAAAAAAAAGAAAAAAATGAAAAAGTGCTGTGAATATAGTTCACTGTGAATGCTTCCAGGTTTAATCCCACATACTGGAGAGAGGGTAGGGGAAGAGGAGAAAATGATGATGCAAATGGTAGGAGGACACAGAGTAAAACAGGTGAGGGGGCAGGGGTGTGGACAGGTACAGCCAGGAAGATGGAAAAGTGAATGTTTTGGGGCTGGTGAGATGGCTCAGTGGTCTAAAGCACCTACTTAGAACAAGCTTAGCAAAGCACAGGTACCACGGTTCAATCCCCAGCACCACATGCCAGCCAGCCCGCCCCCTGGTGGGCTGAGCTGGCCACACACACACACACAAATAAAAGAAAAGTGAATGTTTTGTAGGGAAGGGGAAATATATAGCACCCAGCACATAGTAGGTCTTCAGAAAATGCTTGTAGGAGAATTGACAGACATGGAAATTTAAGAGAGGGTCTCAGAAATAGCAGCAGGGAAAATAGGGAATTCAGTCCATGTGGGATGTGGTCTTGGAGCAGCACATAGTAGCTACTAACTTAATATTGGTATGTTAACTGAGTGCATGAGGTATGTAGGGATTCAGAGACAAACACAGTGACGAAGGGACAGGTGTGTGGGATGGGCTGGATTCACAATCAGTGCGCAGTAATATGGAATGCATGAATTCTCAAGGGCTGTAGCCAGGTGAGACTATGGGAGAATGTGGAGAGCTAGGCACACTGGGAAAGGGGGCTTCAGCAGCCATAGCACCAGAGGGCCAAGCAGATGCTGCGTAGCACTTGGCCAGGTTCAGGTAGAGGGAGATGCTCAGAAAGTGTTGAATGAAAGAATGAATTTGAGGGAAGGCATGTGTGTGTGAGAGCCAGAGCTAGGAAAAAAAGAGAGAATTAAAGACAGGCAGCTGGGGGTTTACCCTGGTGGCGGAGTGGTTGCCTAGGGAGGCCCTAAGTTAGAGCTCCAGCACTGAAAAAAAAAAAAAAAAAAAAAACAAGTCTATAGTCTGGGCATGGTATTGCATGCCTGTAATCCTGGCACTTAGGAGGCTGAGGCAAGAGGATTACTGTGAGTTTGATGCCACTGTGAGCTACTGAGTGAGTTCAAAGCCAGCCTGAACTGCACAGTGAGAGACCCTGTCCCAAAAAGGGGGAAAAAATAATAAAAAAGATACACACATGAGAGAGACACAGAAAGAAATAAACCAGTGGAGAGATGCAGAAAGGCAGGGACACAGAGAGATTCACAGTCAGACCACTGAGGGAGCAAGGTAGAAATCAAGAGAGGTGCAGAGAATAGGGGCAGAGAGAAACCCTGTACCCATCAGATGATGTGTAGGTTTTGGGGGATGGGCCAGCAGTAGAGAGAGGCCTCCGAACCACCAGTCTCTCTCTGCAGAGGGGGGCAGTCTTGGGGCAGACCCCAGCCTTGTGGGTGACTGGGTCCCCTGGCCCCACAGGTCAGTGACACGGAGTTACTACCGAGGGGCAGCTGGAGCCCTGCTGGTCTACGATATCACCAGGTGGGTGCAGGTGTTGGCAGCATGGTTGGGGCAGGGCCTGGGGCCCCGTCTTCCATGCCACCTTCTTTTATGCCTCTTCGACAGCCGGGAGACATACAACTCACTGGCTGCCTGGCTGACTGACGCCCGCACTCTGGCCAGCCCCAACATCGTGGTCATCCTCTGCGGCAACAAGAAGGACCTGGACCCTGAGCGCGAGGTCACTTTCCTGGAGGCCTCCCGCTTTGCCCAGGAGAATGGTGAGGGCCAGGCTGTGCTGGGAGCTGGGTGGGGCTGGAGGGGTGGAATGGTGCTCAGTGCCCTCAATGTGGGAGTTCAGAGGTCCCCCTGAAATCTGAGTGTTGAGCTGTGTGACCACTCTGGTCCTCATTTCCTTCAGTGGGAAGTGGGGTTCTCAGTGTTTGTGCCTCACAGTGTGCTGGTTAGGGAGGTCATGGGAAGCCCTCCCCTCCCCCCGCACCTCCTGTCACAGAGAGGGTACAGGGTCTGAATGTTGGCTGGGGAGACGTGTCCACCACCAAGGGGAGGCAGCGCTGGGTATCGGCTTCAGGTAGAGGAGCAAACTCAGGTGGCCTAGGGACCCGAGGGGAATAGGTGTAAGGGAATGGAGAGGACTGATGGGCTCTGTCGAGAGGTTTGTAAGTTAGCCACTGTAGCACGTGTGTGTAATCACAGCATTCTGGGAGGCTGAGGCAGGAGGACTGCAAGTTTGGGTCCACCCTGGGCAATTGATAACTTAGCCAGATTCTGTTTCAAAATAATAAATAGTAAGGGGCTGGTGAGATAGCTCAGAGAAGTGAAGCTCCTGCTTAGGCAAGCTTAGGCAAGTGCAGGTACTGCTGTTTGATCCCTGGTACCACATGCAGCACCAGCCCCGCCCCCAGGGCAGGCTGAGCCAGCTACAGAGTCTGGGCATAGTGGTGCACACCTGTAATCCCAGTGCTAGGGAAGCTGAAAACAGGAGGATCACTGTGAGTCCATGCTGTGTAGTGAGACCCTGCAACAACCAAATATTAAAAAAACAATAAAAAGCACTGGGGCTGTAGTCAATGCAAGGGGCTTAGGTTCAATTTCCTGTAACACACACACACACACACACACACACACACACACACACACACACAGAGGAGAATCAAACTCACTTGAGCACACTGTGCTGCCCGGCCAGCCACATCTGCTGGTTTGGCATGTGTTCGTGTCTCCCAGGGGGATGGAATCCTAGCTCTAAGTTACTCATTGAGAGGTCTTATAGCCTGGGGCTGTGCTAGGTGGCACTGGCGACCCAGTGATAAAGACAGCTTTATGTTACTCACAGTGCAGAGGGTGAGATTGAAGGTACAGGTTCATTTACAGACAGCAGTGGCCCAGGGAGGTTGTGGTCAGTCTGGGAAGGCAGCAGAGGCCCTGTGGACCTGCAGGAGAGCCCTGGCCCAGGCCAGAAGGTCAGGCAGGATGTTCTGGGGTGGGGTCCTGTGCCCTGAGCACAGAAGGACAAGCTGGCGGGAGACAGAATGCTCTGCAGGGCACAGCACAGTATGTGCAGAGGCCCATGGGAGGCCGTGGTGGTTGGGGCATTTAAAGAACCTAATGAGAGCCAGCCGGTGGGAGTAGGCGTGGAGGGCAGGGACCAACGGAGATCCTGGCCCTCCAGAGCTCATGTTCCTGGAAACGAGCGCGCTCACAGGTGAGAACGTGGAGGAGGCTTTCCTGAAGTGCGCCCGCACCATCCTCAACAAGATCGACTCAGGTAAGACCCAACTGAGCAGCCCAATGGAGTGGAAGGTTGGGTTCTGGGGTCTCTGTGGGACCAGCCCTGAGCTTTCCCCCTGCCTGCCCGCAGGTGAGCTGGACCCTGAGAGGATGGGCTCAGGCATTCAGTATGGTGATGCGTCCCTCCGCCAGCTGCGGCAGCCTCGGAGTGCCCAGGCCGTGACCCCTCAGCCCTGCGGCTGCTGAGACCTGCAGAGCCAGGTGGGATGCTGGGGGCTTAGGGAGGCAGGGCCTGTGTCCTGGGAAGAGGGGCGTGGAGCGGACAGAGACATGGAGAATGTGGTGACAAGAAGCAGTGAAAGGAAAAGATGCAGAGCATAGGAGCCGAAGGAGCCGTCTTCCCAGACATAGGGAACCCACCTGCCTGACTGCACCTCAGAGCTCTCTGCCAGCCCTCAGCAGCACCTGGCTTCCCCTTTCTAGTGCTGAGTGCCTGCTGTGTACCAAGCCCTGTTCAAGGCTCTGGGGAGACAGCAGTGAGGAAAAACCGCTGTCCTGGAGCCAACATGCTCCTGGGAGGGAACAGACAATAAACAAGACATGTAAATAAATGGCCTGGGCGTGGTGGTGCACACCTGTAATCCCAGCACTCTGGGAGGTTGAGGCAGAAGTGTTGAAAGTTCAAGCCTAGCCTGAATAATTTAGTGAGGTCTCGTCTCAAAATAAAAAATAAAAAGGGAGGTGGGGCACTGAGAATTTGGATTTCATCCCAAGTTCAAAAAATAAAAAAAGACACAAATAAATTATATAGTAGCTGTAGAGAAGATTTCAAATTGAGTCAGACAGGGAAGGGTGGAGGAGTTCACTTAAACAGAATATTGAGGGAGGCCTTGTTGAGAAGGTGACTTCTGAACCAACACCTGAAGGAGGCAGAGGAGGAATCTTGGGCATCTGGGGTTGGAGCAGCGTGGGAACAGCAAGCGCAAAGGCCCTGGGTGAGAGCTCAGTCAGGCTGGTCGAGGTGACACCTGGTGCAGGTGAGGAGGGGGTCACGATGGCTGCAGTGGGGTGCGTAGTGCTGGGGGCTCAGCAGGACATAGTGCTTGTGGCTTGGGGAGGACTCTGGTTGAGATCTTGGCCAGGATGGGAGCCATAGGAGTCTTCTGAGCTGTCTAGACAGAAGATTTGATTCAGGGGTTCACAGGGACCCACTGGGTGCAGGTAGGAAAGAGATAGGGAAGTGGTGTTTGCTGCTGCAGAGTCAAGGCTAGGGAGGCTGGTGGATGGCCTGGGATGGGGGGAGGGCTTGAGCCATGGGTAGGTTGTTTGCTGCCTGGGCTTTTTCTTTCCCTCCTTGTCCTGGCTTGATGCAGCCAAGGGCTCTAAAATAGAAATCTGCGCTTGCCCATCCTTGTTTAAAACCATGCATGGCTCACAGGGCTCCTGGCACCCGACGGAGGCTGCTCAGTGGGATGCTGGACTCAGCAGGGACTGGCCCCTGTAGCTACCTCAGCCTTCCCTTGCGCCTCTCCCCAGCCCGTAGGCTGCTTCTGCCGCACTGACTTCTGTTTCCTGTGTCTTTGCTCATGCTGTGCCTTCTGCCTAGAACACTTTCCTTTTCTCTTTGCCCTGGTAACCCCCCGTCCTCCTCCAGGAAGCCTTGTTTGTTCTTCTAGTTTGCTCCAAACCCGTTTACAGGCTCACCTTGCCTTGCAGGGTTTGCTCCCCTCCCCAACTCTGTGGGTGGGTGGTGGCTGTGGCCACTTCTCCCCTTCATACCTTCTGCTTCCTCCCAGCCATTTACCACTGCAGCGAGACTGAGGGGAAAATTGGCTAGACTTTGGATCTGCGTGGAAGGTGGAGCCAGCGTGTTTTCCTGATGGCATTTGAAAAGGCCAGGGGGCCCAGGGTGGAGTGGGGGTGGTTGGGGTTTAAGGATAAATTCTTCGGACAATGCTGTCTTGCCCGGCATTTGCATGTGCTGTGCCTGGGCCTTGGATTCCACGTCTGTAAAATGAGGGCAAAAGTTGTGCAATACCTGTCTCTTAGGAGTGTCGAGAAGGTTAAATAAATCAGTTCATTTAAAGTGCTTGGGATGGGCCCAATACTTAGTAAAGACTCAATAAGCAGGGCTGTTCATGCTATTCCTTCACATGCATCTTAAAGACTCTGGGCTGTGCAGACGCGGGAGGATGTGTATTCTTAGCATAGAATCTCAGAGGGTCAAATGTAACAAGACAGTGCATTTAGAGACTGTTGGCTGCACTTTCGTATGTTGATCTAATATAGTCACACCTATGTATAACATTCAAATATGTTTTCCTACTCCACTTCTTAAATTGAAATTAACAGGTTCACATTGGGGCCATAATTTGTATGTCTCACTGCCAGGTGACTCTTACTTGAATGTGTTATATTCCCCCCAGCTTGTTCCACTGGTGGTACATGCATGCCTGTCCCATTGGGTGGCCTGGGATGGTCCCATTAGGTGGCTCAAGCCTGTGGTGGTTCATGGCAGTGGGAATGTTAAATTCACATAAGTATAGTCATGTTAAAGCTCAGTGGCATTTAGTGCATTGACAAGGTTGTACAGCCATCCGCTCTGTCTAGTTCCAGATTATTTTCAAAACCTTAAAAGAAAACTGCAAACCCAGCAAATAGTCATTCCTCATTCCCCCTCATCCCCTGGAACTACCAGTTTGCTTTCTGTCTCTGTTGACCAACTTTTTCTTGTTTATATTTTGCTGAAATGCTCTTCTTATATAGTTGACTGGCCTTGAGCTTGCTTTGTAGCCCAAGCTACCTTGGCTTTGCTCTGTAGCTCGTGATCCTCCTTGCTGAGCCTCCAGAGTGTGCGGATTAAAGTCATGTGCCACTGTGCCCAGCTGACCAGTATTATTACATATGGTGCACTCTGACATTTTCTCTTTTATTCAATTTGAATAAAAATTATCCAAGGTCCACCAAATGATTCCCCCTTCCCATGCAATGTTGCACATTTGAATCACCTGGAGAGCTTCAATGTCCAGGCTTAACTCCAGAGATTTTGAAGTAATTTCAGGATTTCTAGAAGCTTCTAGACAATGCTATGTACAATCAAAGCAAAAAGCATTAATGTGTCTCTCTAGCTTGGAAAATTCTGGAAGGAGGCCTAAAGTCAGGGTGATCAGGATATCGGAGGACACAGATACAAAAGTAGGGGTATGATATTTAGACATTGAAATGTCCCTTTACAGATTGTTGTCTGAGGTAAGCAAGCAGGTAGATACAAGGGGGGGG